ACGAGGGTGAGGGATTTTTCGAGGTTGCGGGAGGAATCGGCGGCGATGCGGCGGAGGGGCCGGTCGTAGAGGGCGGGGCCGGCGAGGCGGGCGGCGGAGCGGAGCATCTGGGAGAGGCGGTCGACGTGCTTGCCGACCTCGGAGCACTCGAACTTGAAGGAGTCGGACTCGCGGACGGCGTCGGAGATCTGGTCGGCTAGGAGGATGGGGTAGGAGAGGACGTCGCCGATGCGCTTCTCCTGTTGGTCGATCGGCCGCGGCTTCTGGAGGGCGGCGGCGGCGACAGTGGTGGTGGGGGCGACGGCGGTGGATGTGGGCTTCGCCGCCATGGCTGGTGGTGGTGGGGAAAACGGAAAAATCGATAAATTTATTAGGGGAAACGAATTTTTGCAGAGGGTTTCTCCGATTTTGATTCTCTCTGTGTGCGAGAGCAGAGGTTAGTGATTAATAAGTCGAGGTCTGATTACATTTTTTATTTTTTCAGATTTTTTATTATTTTTATTTAACTTTTTTGTAGACCGCATGTTTGACCGCTGTGTAGAACTTGTAAAAGGGAGAAAATAATTTATTTTTATTTTTTAAAAAAAGGGCCCTCGTTGTCCTGCCCAGCTCGATTTTGAATTAGTCGGTTCTTCTGTGAATCCAGAAACCGAAAGGTCCCTGTAACAAAAACAATTGTTCTCTATTGTATAAGAATAATATTTTGATTAAATTATTTACAAATCTTAATTTGAAGTCTCTTGATCTTGTACGACTTGTTAGGGTAAACTATTCACGTGAGTACAACTCAATATTTATTTAGGGAAATGCTACGGTCGTTAAAGAATCTTTCCGTCAGGTTTGTAGCTGTCAGATCAAGTATCCTGACGATTATATGATGATCTAACGATTACAAACCCTAACAGAGATCTAACGATTACAAACCCTAACAGAATGGTTCCGTAACGAGACTGTAGCATCTCCCATTTATTTTTTCAAGTTAATGAAAATCTTAATGATATTCGAAAATTCATAATTCTTCCTTTCTCAAATGGTCCAAAGTGCTTATTACGAATTTATATTCCTCAAAAGGCCTCTACCTTGAGTGATTAGAACTAAATTATCAAGTAATATTAATTTAATATCTAATTAAATAATCTAATGAAACCTGATATGTATCACTCTATTCTGTCAGAAAATCTATGGTGTCACATGTGGCACCATATTATGGTGCCACAATATGATGTGGCACATTATGATTGGTGTCACAACATGATGTGTGATAGTGTGACACCAATCATAATGTGTCACATGTTGCACCATAGAATTTCTGCTATTCTGTAGTAGTATTCAACAATCAATAATTCTATGGAATCATTCCTCCACCATTTAATGTATAGACACTTATCTAAATTGTATTTATTTTAGGATACATGTCAATACATTATTGGTGAATAACTCTGGATGGCTCCATAAGTCGAGTCATCCGACGGTTCCATAACAAAACTGATTCAACAATAAAAAGAATTGGAGTGTGAATTTTGTTTAAAAGAGCTTTTGAAATTATCAAAGGCTCAAGAGTATTTTGTTATTTTGGTTATTTTTTTTAGTTTTTTTTTTTTTTTGTTTATTCACACAAAATTATACTATATATTTGTCTCCACACAAGCATTTAAAATTATAATATACGAATTGAAAAAAAAAATAAGAAAAAAGTTGTGTTGAAAGCGAGAAATAACAGACAAGCAGCACATGAGAGTACTTGTTTTAGGAAAAATGCTACATGTACATAATATTATACATAGAGGTGTACATAACACTCACATGGAGTGGGTCCACTTAATTTTTTATTTTTGGTGGGTCCCACTCAATGTGAGTGTTATGTACACCTCTATGTTAAATATTATGTACTTGTAGCATTACTCCTTATTTTAGTCCCATGTATGAACAACAAAAATTCTATGGAGTCATCCGATGATTCCATAGCAAAACGTGTCAATACACTATTGGTAATAAGTGTGGATGACTCCATAAGTCGAGTCATCCGATGATTCCATAGCAAAACTGGTATGAACAAATATTGTTTTGTAACATTCAATAAAACTAATGAATAATGATTATTAGCAAAACAAACAAAATCATCTTGTCTCAATTTATATACATATTACATGAATGTGTGCAATAATGTGATTGTTAAGGTTAGAGAGAATAAATAAAATGTATAATTGACCGGACTTATTTAAAAGCTAGCTAATAAAATATTTTTTTTAATCGTTGAATCACACATAAAATGTGAGTATAAGTTAATCGAATAATAT